AAAAAAAAAAAAAAAAAAAAAAAAAAAAAAAAGGAGGGGGGGGGGAATCCACAAACTATTTTGCATCACTCTAAACCAGTGTTTCTCAACCTTGGCAGCTTTTGAAGATGTGTGGACTTTAACTCCCAGAATTCCCCAGCCAGCACACATCTTCAAATTGCCAAGGTTGAGAAATATTGCTCTAAGCTAACCACATGCAAGGCAGACATTAGTCAGACAAAGCTTAGGTGCCTCCAGATGGGAATGTCCTTCTAGTGCTATCAGTCAAAACACGACTTTTCTTCACAAATATGTTGCAAAGAAGAGAAAAAAAAGTATGGAAGAAGGGTTGCAATATCTAGACCACCGTAAAAGTTCATAGCTATATTTTGGCAGTGGCACAGTAGACACTTTATCTGGAAATTCATTGCATTTCCATGTTAAAAAAATGTCCAACATTTCTATCTGTACAGGAAGCTATCCAAGTGATAATGAGCACTTTGAAAAAAGCTGGTCCTATGAATGGAGCATTATAGTTATCCATGTGAATCAACCCCACAACAACTGTCCACAAGAATGAGGAAATACTTACGGAACCTGAGTTGAGGTAAGCATAAACCCTTCCTTCTTCTCTGACTTTACTATGCATGGGCGCTCCAACTAGTAAGTCTGAAAGGCCATCCCCATTGAGATCCACCGCACAAACAGTAGCTCCAAAGTAAGAACCAAACTACCCACACAGAAGAGACATTGGTTAACCATGAAATCACCAAGGGGTATGGATATATCATGACATTTAGCAGTCTTTGTAAATATAGGAGTATTACCTTTTTACCCCTTAATTCACTTAAAATTGATAGTTGTTTGGGTTCAATTTTAAAAATGTAAACCTGAAATAAACAACAGAGGTCAGCTGCATCAGAGACCCTAAACAAACAAAAAACAAGAAGTTTCTTTATCAGTAGAAGAAGCACAGCAATATATAGGGTTACTACACGGTGAAAAATTAATGCTGGCCTGAAAGGGGCAATTGCCTGAGGCAACAGATTCTGGTAATCACCCATAGCAGCTTTCATGAACTTTCTGTTCCTCTATTAAGTTGGTTATGTTGCACAATTTGTCCTAAACATGCTTGCTGTCTCAGCTGAAATAGAAGTTACTCCATCAATAATAATGTAGGATTCAACCACTGGTCCAGCCAGCTTCTGTATGCAGATTGGTAGTATGAAATCATTAGTTCTTTGCCTCAAGCAGCAAACTGTCTTGGGTCACTTAAGTGAAGATTGATCAACTCAGGAACCTGTCTTTACAATGACCTGAGTTGGACATATCACTCCCTGATCCCCTCTACCTACAGCAGCTTCACGTGTTATACCAAAATATTATCCTCCCCCACTCACAAATTTTCCAAGACTATGCTTGTCTTCGTTTATTAAAGCAATGAAAATGCATTAATTCATGAACCTTCTATTAATACTTGGTATATGAAAGTCTGAGGATCATTGATCATCTCTAACACAAATACAGAAACAAGCAGCATCTATACATGAAAAATATGTCCTAGGAAAACATTTGTGGAAAAAAAAATAATCCTTAGATTATTTAGTTATCATCAAAGAACCTCTGGCAGATTCTGCACCGTTGCAAGCTGTGAATTTATTTTTAACCAGAAATATTTTCATAATATACCACCATTAAAACAAAAACAAAAAGCAAAACCTCTTACTTTACCAGTCTGCTCCTGCTGGGGAGCACCTCCAATTACTTCTGAAGTATGTGCAGAAAGGAAGTGACCTGCTCCAACAGAATAACCTGTCCATAAAATAACAATGGATGAATGTAATTAGTTTTCAAGTACAGTATTCTGTCTTACTGCAAATAATCTGAAGATTTAAAGGAATTCTTTCCCTTGATATTTGAGCACTGATTCCCATAACCAGGAATAAGAACTGCTTAAAAATGTATAAGCAGATTAATCCTGTGCCTTTGGCTGTGTGTCCGAAAGGTGGATACCCAACCCCTTTAGCAATCTGTTTAGGAACAACTATTACAATACTTCGATGGAATGCACCGAAAATGTGGACATATGCTTCTATAGAGTAATCCCATTTATACCACCCAGAGGGCGATCAGATGACTCTCCTGCTTGTCTCACAATATGGTTGGGAATTCATGCCACCATATGCTGTCTTGGCATATTCAACATACCTTGCTGAGTAGAACTAGTCTGAACAAGGGGGGAAAATGTGCAAATGTTTTTGTATACCAAAGTTAAAATTGGTAAGTTTGTCTATAAAACCAGTTTCCTGGGTGTGTATATATATATAGTGCAACCACTGAAAACTACTTTGCATATGTCCTGTTGAACATCTAAAGGGTGAATGATTCTCTAAGGAAAATAAAACAAGCTATGCTTTGAGTGAGAATCAGTCCTAGATAGATAGATATCTAGATAGACAGACAAATAAATAGATTTTCTACAGAAAGAATTTAATTCACAAATGCACACTGGGAAAAAAGAAGAAACTTCAGTATCTTAATATCGGTTCTGGTGGGATCTGATTTGCAACCCTTATCACATAAATGAAAAGCATAGAGCAAGAAATGTTGGAGTCAGAACATCTCAAACTCAAAATATTTTGCACAACCCCACCAAATCCCCACACATAAGGCAACAAAACATTGGGCTGCCATCTCCTAACATTTTCCTTTCTAAGAACACCAATGGAGTCCATGTAGGGCCCAGAGGCCATACTGATCACGCTTGAGGCTTCTGCTTGGCTTCTCACATGCTTTGTATATGGAAACGGAATTGTAAAATTAAGCCAGAAAGGGCAAAATACTTAGCCATCACTAAGGAATATGTCAGGAAGTACACTGCTGCCTTGGGCACCATCTTGCAGACCCAGATCAGGAGCAGCTGGCAACAGTACACAAATGGATCCATATTGCCATGATACACTGAAGCCTTAGCTGGTTGCAATGAGAAGAGTGGGAGTCCTTTTCAACGTAGCTCGCTGAAAGGACTCCTTAGGCAGAAATGAGGCTGTATTCATTGTAACAATAAATTACTTTCCTACTACTTTTTGTCTGGGAAGCATACTGTCAGCAACTACGTTAAGCTGAAAGTTCATACACAAATATTGAACATAAAATCATTTACCTAAATAACTTCCATACTTTACTTGGTTATTCACATCCAGATATGAAAGAAATATGTTTGCTGTTTTGTTGTATACAAAGATGGAACCAGCCCAATAATCTGATCCTGGGGCTCCCATAATAATTAAATCCTAGAAGAAAACAAAAAAGTTTAAGTCTTAATATATGTTTTGGAAGCTATAGTAGCTACTCCACTGCTAAGTACTTCCAAGCAAGCCAAATGAAAAAAGCCACTGTGTGAACAATACGCTACACAATGTACCTTTCTTATGCAGAGCATAAAAACTCACGGTGAAGTCCTCTATTTCCCCCACCTCAGAGAGAATGTGGTGAGTTTTATTATTGCTTTGCATGAATTATTCCAGATCAGATTATAACTTACGTTCTGTTAATTTCAAAATAGAAATGTTAGGTGTATGTTAAAAATATAGGGCATTACATATATTACAAATCTTGTCACGGTCTTGCCATTTTTGCAATAGCAGCCCAAGATCACAGATTGTCTTAAATTGAATCCAAACAACAATATTCCAAGATGCCACTGTGGCAACATCTGCCTCCCAGGAAGAAGATGCAACAAGTAGTCTAAAGAGGAGAACCTGAATCAGCTTCTTCTCTACAGCTCACTTCACTCACCTCTTGCCAAGGAAAGAGGAGATGGATGGCAAAAAAAGAGGGAGCACATTTTGAAGACCATCAAGCAGCAGCTCCATCCAGATGGATGAAGCAACAGCTTCCCAGAAAATGTGTTTCAGCCCCCTGAGCAGGGCAGGGGTGTGAGCACACACTAACTGCAAGTTCCCTGACACATTATCACACTAAACATATTTTATTTCATGAGTAAAATAAACAGCTTCAACAATGAAGTAATAATCTTAACTTACAGACCTCTGTGTAAAATGTTGATATCCCAGCCTGACAAGACCCATATTTTTCTCCGTATTTTCTCCAAAAATCTGGATATCCACCATGTGATTCAGAAAAAGAATATATTAAGACCAATGAACTAAAAGAAATAATTCTTCATGAATATTACACATTTTCTATAGCTGTTTTGAGAAGCAAATTGGAATTAGCTAAACAATTGCTACTTGACAGCAAGATAATATTGTGCTTACTAATACCAAAAGAATAAAGGTTTGGAAAAGCATACCTTTCAAAAGGAACCATCACTGTCCAGTCTCACTTCCAGAACTAGTTTAAATTATTTCAATAAAATGAAGAGACTCATTATGGAAAATATTTTCCTAATGAACAGGAACACTATGTGTTTTTGTTTTATTTGGGTTTTTTCCCCCCCATTTTAGGCTTCACTAACAAAGAGAATTGGTTGAATTGCTGTTTTCTTCCCATCCCTTTTATAATTTCAGACACAGTCTGAAAATTATATTAGCATGTTCCAGGTTGTGGGACCTGTAAGTTTAAAAAAAAAATCCTGGAACCCCTGATCAAGATGCAAAGCTCTAATGATAAAAAACTGGCTCTGTTCAAGTGGATTTTTTTTCTCTTAAACTCTGGCTTATTCTTCCAGGCCTATGCTCTGTCTCAGACAAAGACAGGCTTGCCTTGGTCCAATTAACTTCTACGTTCATCTAAATCAGAATTGACAAGCTTTTCAGATAGTCCACAAAGTGGGAACCAAAAGTTTTAAATGCCCAAGATCTTGAGGAATATGTGGAAGAATTCAGAGATCTGATATTTCATTAAAAAAAAATGGGTTTCTGTTCATGGACGCAACCCAGCTATATTGGGGTGCAGTGTTAAGTTCAGTCTAAATTCAAGGAGCACCAGGACTCGACTGATTTCATTCCTATCCATACTTTCCTAACACAGATACACCAGGCAGGAAACACCGGAGGAGATATCAATCATGCTAATTGTCTCTGAACCATTCTAATAATTCCTTTTGTAAAAATCATTTTTTTTAATGCATAGTTGCAGGCATACAAAGAGATGTACTATAAAATGCATTTGTAAGACTTCCAAACCATTTTGTTAAACAAGGTAAACATGTACTATATTCAAAGCTGCCTCAAAATATATGAGGCTGAACATGAAGCTTTCCTGGTTGCGTCTTCTCCAATATTCTTACAACATATAATTCTATTTTTTATTAATCAACAGCAGGACCTTTTACTTACCCTTATAGCAAGGACATATTCTTTGACTCAACAGCGTTCGAAAATTGGAAGGTATCTCATAACAAATGCCATGTGGAAGTTTGTGCTCCCCAACATAAAATACATTTTTCCATCTATGTCCACAGACCTAGGTAAAAAATGAGACAGGAAAATAAGTCTGGTGATCAAAAAGCTTGACAAAATATAAGACTACTTCCAGAGCCATAAAGTCAGGTTATTAATCCATCAATCAAATCTTACTATAGGATTTCAGAGAGAAATCTTTCAGAAAACTAACCTTTTGCCAGTAGAGCTACAGCCCTCTGCCCGATACATAATTTGTTAATTGTTAAACTAGAGATCCTTCCCAAATACTTACAGAAGGGAATATAAGAATACTTACAACAACAGATCCATTTTCTCCTGGCTGCCTTGCTAGGCTCACTCCCAACCACTGATTGTCTCTTTCTTCAGCACAGGTTTTTCCACATCTTTCCCCTTTCGGATCACCTTTAACCATAAAATTAAGGTATGTATAGAAACCTTAAAGCACAGTAACATTGCAGATTTATCCTTAAGTTGCAGGTAGTCCTCAGGTTATGACCCTAATTGGAACTGGAATTTCCACTGCTAAGCAAAGCGGTTGTTAAGTGAAACATCACATGACCATGCCGCTTAGCGATGGCAGTCCCAGTGGTCTCAGTTGTGGTCATTAGGACAGGAACTCACACTTCTCCTGCCCTGTGTGAACGGCCTCCACTTCAACTCCCACCACCCCCTATCTCCCACCCATCTCTACCCTTTTGGTTGCCCTGCACAGCATGACTGAGATGAAGAGACCACTGTATTCTGCCTACCTACTGCCTCCCCTGCCCCCAGCTGCCCCTTGTTGTCTTCTTCACCTCCCCTCTCCTGGACTTGCCACCGCCAGCTGGCCTCAAGCCCATGAGATGGGGGGTGGGGGGGGTCTGTCGGTGCTGGGCTAGGCTCCACCACCACCTTGCCACAGCCTCCCTGGCTGCCAGGGTCTTGGCAGGCCTGCTCCCCTTTAGCACTCTCAGCTCACCGCCAGCCAGGAGAGCTCTGCATGCTCCACACAGTCCTGCCCTACACAAAGAAGTTCTCCACCGCCACTGCCCCACACAACGGAGGGAGCCATCCAGAGAGTGCCACCCCAGACCCGATTCCCTCGCCAGGAAGGGAAGGGGCTGAGGCCATGAGTGCTGCACCGTGTGCCACTGCTGGCCAGAGCAATCCTCCTGCCAGGCAGCAAGTTGGGAGCATTTCCGTGGTGGGCTCAGACAGTGGGGAGGTGGTGGTGGGGTTCCCCTGCACAGCACGGCTGACAGAATCCCTGTGCTGTGGGGCCTGAGGCTAGCTGGTGTTGGCAAGTGCTGCAGAGGGAAGGCGAGGTGAAGAAGACCTCAAAGGTTAGACGGCAGTGGGTAGGCGGTGGCAGCGGAATATAGCAGCCTTTTCATCTTGGCCATGCTGTGTAGGGATGTTATGGGGGAGAGAGGTTGGAGGGGAGCTGAAGCAGGACACTGTGATAGTCATAAATATGGACTGGTTGCCAAGTGCCTGAATTTTGATCACGTGACCATGGGGATGCTGTGCAGGTTGTAAGTGCTAGAATCGGTTGTAAGTCCATTTTTTTAGCACCATCATAACTCTGGTCACTAAACGGACATAACTCAAGGACTGCCTGTACATTGTCCATGTGAAAATAAAGGTATAATTAAACCTCTTAAGTTCCTATTACTCAAAATTACACCATTATTGAGATGCCAAAATAGCAAAATGATGACATTACATTAGTACAGGGGTTCCTAAACTTTTCCCATCACATCTCCCTTTAGTTTAATCTTAATGTACACAACTCCCCTAAAAATCCAAACATCACAATGAACACAAATGAACAATGAAAATAATACAATAAAACTACAATAGAAGAGTGGATTTATTATAACAATGTAACAACCCCTGGACCACCACTGGACTCTGTCTCCACCTCCCCAAGGGAGGTACACCTCATAGTTTGGGAAACTCTGCATTAGTATGTGTGTATAAATAAAGTTTATAATTCACCTATCAAAGTAGGCAGCATATAGCTATACTATTTTCCCCATCTAGTTAGGTTTTTCTGAGTGTCCATAGTACAGAAAACAAACTACAAGTTTGGCAGCAGGTCACCCAGCAAAAGAGTAATGAAAAAGGCAGGGCAGATGAGTAAAACTGTCTTCGAAATTCTCAGTTTCACACTAAATCCAATGCAGGGGGAAAAAAAACAGTCTAGGCAAAAATCACTTATAACCTCATAATCGGAATAATAAAGAAGCCTTCCAAGATGTCTCTACTGCCAGCTGTAAGTAAGAATGTGCATTTTCAAATAACCACATTACCAGTTGCCACCTATGATCACATGGGAGACCACCAATTTCCTTAGTGTGATCTCAGGCTATGTCATTATCACCTATTGTGATGTACAATATTGTATCTAATGCTAAAATGCTGTTATCTGATAGATTTTGTTTTTGAGTGCATACTGAAAAACAAGAATTCTACTTTTCAATCATAGATGACTTTGATAAGCATACTTTTTACAAGTAAACATGTCTAAAACTGGCTGCAAAAATAGAGTTTCTTCCACATTGGTATAGCAACCTTTCTCAACCTCTCCCCTCACCCCCACTCAGAGGTTTAGAACTACAAATTGCCAAATTTGGAGAGTTCCAGTCCTAACAAATCTGGAGATAATTAGGTTGGCCAAAACTGTGTCACAGGCAAACAACCTTAATCATTGATTTCCCATGATTATATTCTCATAGAAGAACTTGAAAATAATTTCCGGATGTCAAGTCATAACCTCACTGTAAGTTCATAGATGTATGTTCATAGTCTGTATATTACTTGAAACCTTCTGATCCAACCTGCTTAGCCCTATTCATGTCAGTGGCTGTAGCTGGGAGCAGAAGTATGATTTTGCTGGATTTTAAGCTTAGTTCTGTAACTGTTCGAACTATTTATCTATTTATATAACTGTCACTCCCATAAGCTTTCTAAAACAATACTATACCAAATATAAAGAATATAATATGCATGTTTTAAATAACTAAACATAGAATATAGATGCCTTTAAAGGAAGCACAGCTCATTTTCAAAATAAATATTCTGGAAACGTGTATAATCTAAAATGGGACAAGTACTTTGTACTAAACTAAAAATGCTATCGTTCGTAAAACCCTGGGATTGTATTTCCTAAATCAGGTAAAATGTTTATTTTGAAACACAAAATGTTCCAAAAGTAATTACAGGTAGTCCCCAGATTAAGAACGCCTGGTTTACAGATGACCCATAGTTAAGAACAGAGCCTACTGTAGCAAAATTTGAGTTAAATACACAATACTACTTATACAGTATTATACAATAACACTGTTCCGACTTACATACAAATTTGACTTAAGGACAGACCTTGGGAACGGAACTCGTTCTTAAACTGACTACCTGTAGTATTATTTTTTACTCCAACCTAATTCCAGTTTTGCTGATGCATGTGATTTGCAATTGAGAGCTAATTACTTTAAAATAAAATTATATGTAACTATGTCAAAGGTTGTTAATCTTGCCGTTCTTCCTTTTTACAACTTGCACTGAAGAGTGAAAAACAGAATGTGTGTAAAAGACAGACATAAGAGAGTACCTGACAAATAAACAATTGCTTCAGTGCAACATTCCGTTTTCCCAGATAAAATGTACTGGAGAAAGAAACTGACTCATTCTCTCTTAATTATGAATTATGGGTTTGAAAGCAAAGTGCATTAGTAAAAAATAACAATACACATTTGGAAGCTTATGAACAAGAAGCATATAAGGTTGTAAATAAAAATGAACAGAAATGCTTCAGAAATCCAAAAACAATATCATATGGATTAACTCTTAGAGGATTAACTTTCTGAGAATTTCAAGACCACTCCCAAGAAGCTGGAGAATTCAATCCTATCTCCACTCAGTCTTTCCTTCCCATGGCTAACTATCCCAATTCCTTCAACCTCTCTCAAGATTTAGTTTTCAGTTCCTTCATTATCCTTGTAACTGTCTGAATCTTTTCCAGTTTCTCTGAACCCCTCTTAAAGTGTGGTACCCAGAACTGGATATAATACTTGAGGTGAGTCTAAATAATGCAGAATATGGCAGACCTATCACTTTCCATGATGTGGAAATTAAACTTTTGCTCATGCTGCCTAAAACTACATTTTTCTTTTTTGTAGCCAGATCACATTGTTGACTCATACTCAGTTTCCAATAACTAATATTCTAAGATCTTCTTGACAAGTAGTGTTATTGAGCCAGATAGCTACCATCCAATACATAGCTCTGTTTCCTACGTGAAGAACTTTGCATTATCTGCAAAATTAATTCTGTTAATATCTATGACCTAACCTATCAACATTGTTTTGAATCTGATTTCTGCCTTCTGGGGGAATAGATACCCCATCCAATTATGCATCATTGCAAATTTGGTATTTTCTCCACCTCTTCATCCAAGTCACTAATACTAATATTAAAGAGTACAAGGTCTAGGACTGAACCTTATGGGATCCCCTCGAAGCTTCACTGCAGTGTAATGAAGTGAAAAGCACTACATGAGCCTTTTTCAGTATAACTACCCCTCTTCTGCTTAGGATATCCAGCCATACCCCCCCCAAATCAATCACCCCTCAGATCAGATCACAATCCTCTCCTCCATTCAAGCTCATCTAGCAAGTGGGGCCATAACTCAGTGGAAAGGCACATGCTCTGCACATAAAAGGTTCAAGTCTAATCATGGCAATCTCTGGTATGGCTAATATTGTTCTGCCTGATATCTGGGAGAGCTGCCACCAGTAGTGATCCAAACAGACCAAGGGTCCAACTTAATAGCCAGAAGCCTCCTGTGGTCCCAGGTCTTGCCATGTTCCATAAATTATTATGAACAACATGATAGAGGGCAAACTTCAATAGTGGAGAGCCTCCTTTATCTGAAGCAAGGGGGGCAGGCAGGGTTTGTATACTAGTCCCAGTTGCCCCCCCCCAAACATGAGTAGCATCGTACAACTTCTAATCTGTCTTTAAACAAATTTCATTTCCTCATATTTCTTTGTTCCACAAACACTCAAAGGCAACAAATCTCCCTTGTAATTGCTTCTCCATGGCTACAAATCTATAGATACTTTGGGAGAGTAAGTCCTTTCCAGACTTATACTTGATGCCACTGAACTGAGCATCACAATAGCTTTTTTGTCCAACTGGTCATATCAGTTTGGAAATGGCTCTATCCTCAATTCCTGAATAATTGCTTCTGTCCCTAACAGAAGATCCCAATTCCATTCTTGAGAACAAGTTCTAAGCAGTCAATTTATTTAATTCACTGTTCAAAATCATAAGATTTATCTATAAAATAAATACAATAAAAATGATTAATCTTACTTGCTGTGATGATTAATTCTGAAAGAACTTTTCAAATGCCGTGACCTGCCTGACATACCAATCAGCAAGTGCATCCTTGCCCGAAATTCCTCTATGTGAAAATCTGTTTATCCAACGTTGTATTTTTAATTCCAGGCTTATAGGCTTGGAAGTTTAGTTCCAAGTTTAGTTATGTGACACCTGGATGCAATACTTCAATAAATTTACTCATATTTCTGGCTGCCCAATGAGAGATAATTTATTTTCAAATTAAGAAAACCAATGAAGATTTCTTTAATCTGTATCTTGGTAGTTTAAATGGAATTGTTTCTATCCAATGAACAAAGTTAAATTATAATTCTTCATGAAACTCATTATTATATAACCCAGCATGAACTGTTTGAACATCGTTTGCCATGGAAAAGAGGCTATAACCAACAAATAATATGTCCCTTCTTTACTATATCCAACAGGTAACTTGTCTCACATAATACTGAATGTTATACAATGATTACAATCAATTGAGTTGGGGTCCTATAACGGTTAAATCAAAATCATACAAACTACATTGCACTTTAGGACAATGTGTGAATTCACCCCGTGTGATGAACTGCTAAAGTTCACACAACATGCTAAGCCATAAAACTTTTTGTTTTGATTTGATTTAGCATGATGGCATGAATCACTTTGATTCACGAGAAGTAGGGCAGTACAAAAATTTGCAAAAAATAAATAAAACCAAGCAAGTTGTAACTTATTCAGCAAGCAAATCATGGTTCCGCATCATTTGTGAACCAGATCACTGAGTTATATGAAGATCATTTCACAAGATAGTAAAACAATGTAACAATTTTCTTTGGCCCAATTCCTTCACACATATATACTACCATTTGAAGTTGCAACTATCAGGCAATGCGCATAAATGTGTGATCTAGTCCACAGAAATCCTTAAGATAAAAAAAGAAGAGCTGATCTTTCACCTAGTGTTCAAACCATCAACAGAGAGATTTTACTGTGTTCACAAAAAGCCTAAAGGGGATATAACACTCAATATGACCCTTTTCCTTGAATGACTGTATTTTACATGAAGCTACACATTATGGCAGACAGATGCTGAGTGCTGACAGCATTCCTCTGCTAATTTATCATGAGGTTTTCTATTTCCAGCAACTATTCATTGAGTAAAACGCATTTCAGCAACTGATATGTTATGAAAATCAAGTCCACTGAGCATAATTGTAAAATTCTAGAGGTTATTTTCCTCTTTTTGTTTATTGGCTAGAATTAAAATTAACTTTGTCTCTGAAATTCACATATTCTTGTTTCTATACATCTTTAAGAGAGTTCTCATAACTTGTCATAAGCTTATGAATAAATGTTCCACAAACTTTGTCTATGAGAGGAAATTTAGACTATATGAAAGAACAATTTTAGGTTCAAGAACTAATTCAGTCTCAACAGCCAAGTGATTTTTCATCTGAAAATTGCCATGAATCTTAATTATTTTGGTAGTCAACATCTTATATGCTTTAACTATATTCTCAAAGTGTATGATACACTTCAAAGGGGCACAATCCATCACAGAGCTAGATTTGCACAAATTGTTTGCTGTTTATGGGCCTCTAATTCCGCATTAATTTATGAAGGTTTTCTTTTGTTTGTGAATATTATTATACCCAAATAGTCCACTCAGATCCAACAATATTATTGCTTGCTGATTCCAGTGCATTTTTAAAGTACATAAAGCACTTAGTAGAAAGAAATTGAGCTTTACTGTTGAGAAAATATACATACGATTTGGAACGCAGGTTTTCCTAACTTAGTTTGTAACTAACAAAACATGCTGCCTTGGACGCCTTGTTGAAGAAAATATATTTAAGTAGATATTATATTTAAGTGGATATTAAGTATGTTAATGAGATAAAGAAAAATGACCCAAAAGTTGAAGCACCACAGAGAGTGCATGTTTTGTACATTTACTAAGATAAGCACTAGCCTATAAAGCTGATAAATCTTTTTTTTCCTTCCAAAATAATCAACTGTTGTGTGCTGACCTTAATTTTTTATCATTTCATTTTATGAAAGTCATGACAGAGTGACACAGGAAATTATGAAAAGACAATGAAGATTTGGTATATAAATGTTATAAATAATAAAATAAGAAAGGTGATGCAGAACATGCTTGTAAAGTATTTAGCTAATGTATTTGTTCAACTGATCATGGGTAAAGCATTTTAAAGAACTTCCACTTTCAGGTCATCAGGATTTGGCACGAGTACAAGAGAGGATTCTCACACTGATAATATGGGTAGTATCAAAATCCCCAAGGACAAGAGTAGTGTTTGCCCTGTTACAGTGATAGCACAGGAGGAAGATAGGCAGAATCTAACAGTTTTGAATTGCTTATACACAGGTTCTGTTATTTGGAAGCAAAGTTACTTGCTTGAATGCTGGTATTAGCAACATTTTTCCTAATAAAACTTATTAATCTGAGTCAGTGAGAATTCTTCCTTTGCTGTTCTTCTCCAGGCCTGATTGGTGCTTAGGTGATCTGATAACCAACAAGGTGAGATCAAATTTCCAGTTCCACTTACCCACTTGGAGGATCTCACAATCTCTCTTAGGGTTCTTTCCAATTTGGCATCTGAATATTGCCCCTGGATTCACCACGGAGCTATTGGTGGGCCAGCTGGCTTTAGGGGCTCCCGCTATAAGCCTGAAGGAAGAAACAAAAACGAAACAAAACTCAAAGCAGCCCAGACTTGGGTAACCAAGCATTCATTGACTAGGACCCACAGAGGTACCAAGGAAGAAACAGAAATGAATGCTTCCACTTATAGAATTGGAAGACTCCCCACCCTGCATTAACAGCTAGTTTGTGATAAGTATGGAGGGGACAGTGCATGAAGAACACAAGCCATGCCCTAAAAACTGATGTGGGGAAATAGCCTAGATTACAGTGACCATATTTTCTTGGAAAAAATAAAGGACAAACCTGAAAAAGGGGCAAATCTGAAAGAGATTCATAAAGATAATTTTAATTGTTTATGTTTATAATTTTGCTTTGCAAAGGAAAATTCAAGAAAAACTTTACAAAAACGCATATTCTAATAAAAATATCTAACACCAAACAGTACATGTACATTTATTTATAAAAGACAATTCAATTTCCAGATTTTTCATGTGAATGTGCATTAAGTGGTACCATTTGTACGGTAAAAGTTAAAAGACCAAAACAAAGGACAAAAGTGAGTTTTTGAAAAATAAATACATCTAAAGGACAGCTTTCTGCAATAAAGGACTGTATTTTATAATAAAGGAGGCATGGTCACTGTACTCCAGATATGTCCAGATCGCTGGGAATTGCAATTCCAACTCATCTGAAGGCATCAGGGTTGGAGGTTGGGATGCCGACACTCTCCAGCAACTGCTGAAAACAAAACTTTCCGAGACAAGGAGGCAAGCGCACACTTTTGGTTAGCTTGACTCAGAACAGAAGGTCTCACCTCCTGGTTTCAAACCGTCGTTGAAAAAACCGTAACCGTCGAAGGTGCAGACGGAGATGCATTT